ACCCCCTTTGCGAGGAAACTTCCCTAAAACTATTCCCTAGTGAGTTCATCAAATATCCAACATGAGAAATTTTACACAGGAGACTTACAAACCCATCAACAAGTGTGAAACTAACAGACAGAGAAATGTAGGATTACATAAACCTCTCTCATAACAGGATGGCAGGGAAATATATTGAGGAAGTTTTTAAAAGAAAGCAAATCATAACATTTTTACCAGGTTTTCAATCATTTTTTAATTATTTTTTTTGGACAAAAAACTTTTATTAAAAGAATGAAGAAATTATTTTTAGCCAACGGTTGATTGGATACCTTAGCAATGGTCTCAATTCCTTGTAAGGTCATGTCAGACAGCAGGTTGGACTCGATACATCGGAGGAAAACATCATCTTCCATCTTGTCCACGATTTCCTCATCCTACAAGGTTGAAGCAAGATCTTAGCACACAATCTTACAAAAAGCTTCCAAAATCAGATCAAAAAGTTACAATTTTGAACTGACATTCAGTAATAATTTTAAATCTATATGAAATGATTTTACTGATTTTCAAACTTGCTAGTAGAAATGCATCATGCTTCATTCAGTGAAAGTTAGAAATTCACTTTCTATATTTCTAATCTATTAAAACAAGTCAAATCTCTCCAATTTGTCTGAGCCGAACATCTGGTATGAGATTAGCTTTGCCACTTTGGAGACATTTGCAGACCTCAATGCTCCCCATGTATTCTACCTTTCTTTTCACTTACACTTTGCATTTCGCTTTCATCTGAATTCTTGATTCGGATTCGTAGCACCAATTTCTCTGCATTGTCATCATTGAAGATGCAGTTAAGATCATCTCCAAAACCTGTAAATTCATTGATCCGAATTACATCAAATATCTCACAAATCAATGGTTCAATATTCATACATCTATATTATAATAGTTATTATCGAACAATTCTCCAACACAATGTCATATATGGCCACACCGCAAAAATCATGCAAACAGGAAGTGAAACCAGAGGAAAGAAATCTTATTTTATAATTAACATTTTTATCTTCACCCTTACTTAGTCGGATTTAAGCACCAGAAAGATCATTTTAAAATTATTTCTTTCAGCAAATGTGATTGGCAAATGATAACAGAGATTATAAACTTCATTTTTAACATAAGACGCCGTTCATTTACACGGAAAATTCTCGGGTAAAAAGGTCAGGTATTTCATCAAGAATTGCATGCGATTTGCTACAGGTTTCAGGTCGTCATTCAATATATTTACTGTCACAGTCGGCATATACATATATCTCAGCTACAGTCTAGTTTATGATTAAATCATCGATGAATATTTTGAATAAATCAATCGGCTCAAAACGTATCAATGTCAATGTTCAATTCGGCCTCACCTGCAGACGACATGTGCGCCTCGGTCCGCCGATATTTTCCTGTTTGCGTAGGGCACAAAGCCGTTCATTGGAAAGTTACATATTATGTTACACCACATGTATTTCCACATCAACCATGTCAAACCCTTCACAACTTTTATTATCATCGTAGGTGATGCTGGAGAATAAATGTTTACCATCATATTTATCGCTTCTATCTACACGGCCGCCATTTTTATGACATTCGTCATTGTTTTTGAAATTCTCTCGTACACCTTTGGTTATTACTAGGGTACACTGCCAGGAATATCGAAAGTAATGACAAAACAACCTATCAGAAGCCTTCTACTTACTATACACGTTCGGGTTTGGTATATAGCAACAATCAGCTTTCACCCTTCCTGTTTACTGATCAAAACCTACAGACCGAGAAACGGCATATGCCGTGTGTAGCAATGACGACCCAACTTTTCAGAACGGCATATGTCGTGCGTAGCACTGACGACCCAACTTTTCAGAACGGCATATGCCGTGCGTAGCACTGACGACCCAACTTTTTAGAACGGCATATGTCGTGCGTAGCACTGACAACCCAACTTTTCAGAACGGCATATGTCGTGCATATACGTAGCAGCCTAGGGTTAAAAACTTGTATTTTTTATTTTTTTGATAAAATGTATTAAATTGGCTTTTTGCAATTTTACTTTGATCAATTAATTATAATTTTTTATCTTTGCTGAATACTTTAAAGCTTTCAATCTTGAACAGGTGTAAATGAAGATTCACCTGCAGTGATTTTTGCAGAAATTTGCTCCATGGTAAGTTTTTTGTCAGTCATCCTCTTTCTGTCCAGCTCCATTCGGAGCAGCCAGGGTGAAATCCTGGACACATCAAAGTCCGGCATTTCATAATACACATTGACCCATTCCTGGTCCTCGGATATGACTGTGTTCTGTGGGTCCGGGTCATAATAAATGGCTGTGTTTGCTGTGACCTTTCTCAAAGTCGTGTGTTCCAGCCTACACAGTACATCCTGTATAACAGACAGTTAGTTACTTATACTGTCAAAATATTATTACATATATAAAACAAAGAGTTTATTTATTCAGATATATATACAATTGCTCAGCTATGCAATTAAATCTATTAAAGTTCATTTTTTGAGTTGAGACCATAACTGATATGATTACAACTGATTACAATTGTGACACCGGAATCATATTACAGGACACTGTTGGATGATACTGGCTGTTTCCCTTAAGAGGAGGGAAGAAGGACAGGGGCTCTTACAGCCCTATATACTGTATGCAATTTCTATTCAACATTCATCAATTCATCTGTTCATTATTACAAATCATGAATGTCATTTAAGGTCATAGGAGTGTATTGCTAAACGGAAATAGGAAGTACATCCCTAGTTGAAAATCCAATGTAGGGAGACAGTATCACAATTTCCACATATTCTAATGTTTAATATTAAACTGATGAATATTGTATGCTCATTATTGACAGAACAGTGTGTTATTTCAATATTAAAGTATTGCAAAGCAATCCCGGCATTAATTCAGTTGTTTTTTAATCAATGAGTCACATGTGTCCATTTTTCTGTACTTCAGGAAACCGGCTACCAATTTCACTACTGTGAAGTTTTTCAAGAACGATAACTCTTGCATGCACTTACTGTGTATATGGTTTTATTATAAAATGTCAATTTTTAATCGTTAATAGATAATTAATTTTACACAATTTCAGCCTTTATGAAATTGATATACATTAATGCAATACTAATCTATGTTAGTATCATTTTTATTGACATTATTTTGCAAAATTCACTCCTTTTTACATAAATTTCCATTTAAAATCCTTAAAATTCTGACAACCTATATTTTTTTTGTGGCAGAACATTTTCTTTACTTCAAAGCAATATAACTACAAAATTTGAATAAATTCTACTTAGAAATGGCGACACAATCTTAATACCTTAAGTTTAAAAATCAATGAAAAATGTAAAGTAATAAAGTGCATATTGTTCATCGTTGTAGTCCTATAGCACTGACCAGGATTGCATTATTTATCTGCAATTTGGTTCAGAATTATAGGACTACACGCTGTAAGCAAATGCAATTTTATAGTCGATTATATCTGAAAGAGTGAGGCCGACAAGTATATTCTATGAGATTCTGTTATTGCATGCATGCCTGCTTTGATATCACAATAAAAATATGTATAATATGTGTGCCATTATTTGGCAACAACAGCACTGGATGTCATATTTTTCTGCTAGTATGAGCAGTGCAATACAATCCAGCAAAAAGATACCCAAGCGCAATCATTCACCTGGTGAAAGATATCACTTAAAATGAGCCATAGATCCAATAAAATGATTATAAAATGCCATTTCAATTAAACAAACCTTGGCCTTCTCTGCTTCTCTTGCTCCCTGGCCAGTCAAGTGCACAGTAAGGGAAGGAGTCTTTGGTTTCTTAGAGATGTTGATGATCTCCTTGAGACGAGGCACACCTACAGTTACATTCTTGGCAGATACTCCGGCGTAATGGAAAGTGTTGAGTGTCATCTGTGTGGCAAGTTCTCCGAGCGACTGGGCAGCCAACGCTCCGACCATCTCTCCTGGTTGTACCTAGGGCACCAAAAAAGCAAGAAAAGAAAGCAAGAAAAGAAAAGCAAATTCTGCTACAATGATATGGCATTGTAAACAGAGGAACATATTGATGATATTTCTGGCATTGCTAATTAAAGTTTTTTCTCCTGAAAATAAAGGGGGCCGTCCTGCACTGTTTCATCTGCAGAACGCTTTTAAAAACAAAGCAACCCTTTCATTATCATCAAAAGCAGTATGGCAATACCAAGAATAATCAGGATGTTATAAAATGTCAGAAAATGAAATAAACTTTTGTCAATTATATTCATATTTTCTCATCAATTCATTTTACTACGTTCACAAGTCCAGTCAATTCACCATCCCGCCACTTTTGGCTGGGAAAGTAGAGACACTATGGTACATTCAAATATAAACATATTGGAAAACAGCAAGTTTGAGAATAAGATACATACATGAGCCTGTTGAAAGCGCGTCTCAATTTCACCAAGCAGCCACTCAAATGCCTCAGAGCTAAGTCTGAACTCTTCTGTCACTCGCTTGGCACATAGGGTGGACCGCACCAGACACTTGATCAGAATGGTGGCATTGTAATTGGCCTGCACACTGAGTCTGTCAGCTCCAGGGACAGTGATCAACCGTTTGCACAAGTCAGCAACACCTATTACACAAAAAACAGTGCACCTGATGTAGATTTGATTAAAGCTGATACGATTTTTAAAGGTTGATAAAAGTGTAGCTTGATGCAGTTTCATGTAAAATTAAGACAAAAACCAACCAAGTTCCAGGGGTTCCAAAAATGTTACAATATATATCATTTATTATTCCTTATTTTAAATTAATAACATTTGGGATCTACTTTTAAAAAGTGCTTCACAGTGATTACAATTATTTTCTAAATATCAGCACATCACACCACTACCAGCCTTTATCTTGGCACGTTTCAAGTAGAATCAAATACACAGGTCATTTAACAATACCAGGGTTATCATGGTTTCACAATGGAAATTGTACCGATTGTTTGGACAATTTTTTACAGGACATATTAGCAGATTTTTTCAGGTGACTAGGTCTATTTTCGTTTAAACAGTTGAACCGGTCAGACCACAGTTGTTCATTTATTGAATAAGGCCAAAACAAATTGATTACTTGGTTCTCAGGCCCGCGCATTTCATTTTAGGGCACCGCATTGCCGATTTTATCGTGAAAGTAATAATAAAAAAAAATGTGAATGCGCCAGCCGCCGTCTTTAAAAAAATCCGGAAAATGGTCCGAATGTCATTATTACTCGTTAGTCACCCAAGTCCCGAAAACGTTTGAATAAAGATAAGTATTGAAAGCGTTAAAATGATCATGACTTATTAGTCTTGTGTACAAATGGCGCTCACTTTGGTACAAATAAGTAATGGGGGTTCAAGATTCTCGTCTGGAGCATCGGGGGGGATTTTCGTAGGCTTGCTCAATGACGGGTCTCTATACAACTATAAAAAGACAAGGTAATGCCAACAATGAACGTTTTACAAACTACACAATAAATAAAAACTCGCCCTTGTCTCGTTTTTCAATGTAAAAGAGGAAAAAAAATACCTTCCTGCTGCATCTCTTTTGAAAAAAAATTGGCCTGAGAACCAAGTTATTAATTTTATTTTGCCTAAGGTCAGATCTAGTAATCTGATGCTGCTTTCAGACGGGTCTTGAAAAAGTCTTGTAAGGCCTGCATAAACACTTGCAGGTCCGTAAGAATTTATACATGAAATTGTTAAATTTTAAAACAGGCAAACCAGTTGTTCCGCATAAACGAACAAGCCCTATGTAATCACCTGGACATAAAGGACAGAAATGTTACAGGGTTCACTTGATGATTTAAAAGTGAAAGCAACATAGATAAATTCAGTCATGTCCAGATAACACAGATACCAAACTCTAGATAAATTCAGTCACGCCGAGGTAAAATAGATAACACATTTATTTGAAAATAAAATGGTAAAATCATGCAATGTGTATAGGTGAGACAATATCATTGTGCGACCGACAAAAAGATAAATTCAAAGCTAACTCTGTGTATAGGTATTTATACAAACCTGTCACGATTTTAACTGGATGGAGTTCTGTAGGTTTACGCTTGTTGATCCTGAAGCGTTTCTGTGCATTCCAGACGAGTCTTGTTAGATTACAGGGCAGGACCACCTTGCTGTCACCCATGGGGAAGATCTTTCGCAGCACATCACGATCTTCTTTCAGCTGATCCCATTCCTTCTCCAGCTCAGATATGGCAGTGGCATCACCAATTAGCTCCTTAATGATGTCCTCCGTCAGACACTTCCGCATGTTTCTACAATGAACCCAACGTATTTAAATGCTGGGACTGAACCAATACCATACATGTGTGGCTTAAGAAAAGAAAGACAACCTTTGTTTGCATACTCTGAGGATGGTATTTAACCTCTAGAATATCTTCCCATGTTTAAACCTTGACTAAAAATCAGAAACCAATGAGCAAAGAATTATTTTCTTATATACCAAGTTAAGAACACCGCTGTTATTTAACACAGGAAATCCTTGAAAAGTTACTTTATGCTTGTTGCGTTATTTGGCTTCAGTTTTTTCTCTCAACGCTTTAATGGTGTGAAATTGTCCTACAGTATGAACAACTGTGCATTAGAGGTATCAGAAAGTCAGTGCATCAGAGAAAAGTTTTTTTTTCCCCTTAGAAATACTTGATAGAGCAACATTCTATTAATTTTGTAATTACTTATATCAACTTGTAAAAGTGTTGGTTTTTGACCTGTGCTCCAATTTCACGATTAAAAAGTACAAGAGTCATAAATTTGATGATAACAGACGTGTTCTGTGGCCTAAGTATTTTAAGTTATTTCCCTAACATACAGTACTGTTTTAAAACGTGCTCTCACATAATCCCTATAAACCATCAACACATGTCATGTCTTAAAAAAGCTTTTACACACTACCTCTTTAAACCGCTTAAAACACTTATATTTCACATTATTTATGATATTTTATCACATAATGAAACCCTCTCAAATAAACTGCTTATAAAATCATAATCTTGTAAATAATAGTATCTTATTTGTGAGGAAAAAAGGTATTGCACTACTTATCAACAGTTAAATGCACTTTCAGAAAAAAAATGGAGTGTTTGACCATAAATTCTATCACAAAATTTTCAGAAAATGTATATCATCATGAAGCAAATATAACTATTAAATTTCACACTAAATTGCAGTCAAGATACACTTTTCCAAAAAAAAAATCCGTTTCAGTCAAAAAGACATAAATATTACCTCTCACTTGAAGCATCAAACTTGAACTTTTTCTCAAAGGATTTGTGTGAAGGTTTGAGTGTTGGGAGCGCCTGGAACTCGACCCAGACACCGTCAAGTCCGTCCTCCCCATACGTCAACTGGACCAACTGTTCTACCTGGTTTCTGATTGTACCATCGTACTTTACCATCACATTCTCCATAGCCTTGAACAGACGTCGCTGAATGAACCCTTCACATAAAAGCATGACATGTAATAATATATTTATACCAATACCAATCTTTATGATATTGAATGACAAACTTTTTAATCTGGCTTTTCTATTTATTGAAGAATGACTAGGATGCATCTTCAGAGATTTGAAGATGTCTTGCAATTGTGATAGACTTTGAACATTGCGTTGTAACATATATTTATCTCCCTAAATAGTAGTAATATCAGCATAGGTGGTGGCCTAAACTTCTTAAAGGGAAGTTTATAGCCATTTCCCAATGATCATATTTCTACAGGAATTACTGTTCCAAGGTTCATTTACTCCTCAACATACTTTAACAGTTAAATGTCAATGTCTAAAACCAATTTGATTCTTTTTCTAATGTCTAATTTCCTGAAGAAGTCTTTATAGATAAGTTCAAATTTTTATCTTTAAAATTGTAATCTTTCACAAATTGTGTAAGTACCAGTCTCAGCAGTTTTCACAACAGTATCAATAAGTCCTTCTCGACCTCCCATGGCGTGGAAAAAGAACTCAGATGGCGTCAGACCAGCATGATAGGAATTCTCCACAAACCCTCTTGACTCAGGACCATAATCATATTTGATGAAATGAGGCAGTGTTCGATGTCGAAAACCAAACGGAATACGTTTACCTTCAACGTATTGTTGCCCCACACAGGCAATGACCTGAAGCAACAGAGAATAATAAAAAAAAAATCCTAGGCAAAGATGCTTCATTTAATAGTGATTTAACACCTTGATTAATTTTGATATAACCTTTCATTTAATTTTTCATCAATAAAAAATTGTTTAAATTCAGAAAAATTCCCCCTGGCATTAAGACAGCCATGTTCAGGAAAACATCTTGTAATTTTTTTTATTTGTTTTGAAACAGATAGTTTGAAACTATTTCAGATGTCATTACCCCCAGTATATACCTGAATTACCTTACACTGGCAGGCCTAGGGTAAGTTATGGGATAGCAAACTATCATTGCACACACGTTGAGAAAACTGTGAAAAATAACAGGTTTGTTATTGACACGCCTGTTGTTATATAGCATCTTTTCACAAAACTTTTGCCTTGCTCAGATAAAAGTGTGATCTGTTACCTGGGAGGTGTTAATCTTGGACCCATTGGATCCTGCCACCACCATAGCTTTGAAGTTGTTGAAATCTGATAAGGACTTCTGGGCTTTTCCTCCAGTTTTGTCACGAGCATTGTTCAAGATACGATTCACCTGAGTAGAAATATTCAACAGTTCAACAACATTATCTAGAATGAGATCTACCACAAAAGTAAGAATTAAAGCAATTGTTATGAATTAATTTCAAAACATCATCAATCTGCTAAACTTTAAATTTTAAATGTTGAAATAGATTGATACAACAGTTTCCTAAAAAATGATAAACTTAAATTTTAATAGCTATTTTCCTACCAATACAATTTTGTATAGCAATTTTTTAAAATGTTTTATTAAAAGTGATTTTGAAAAAGCCCAGGCCATCAGCAAAGATTTCTTCCTACCTTGTTTTCAAAAGTCTGACGCAGTGTGTTTCCTGGTGTTGGTTCCAACTCATCATTGTGAGCCTTCTCAATGACGTCCATCACGTCCGCCTAGAGCACAAATTAAATCTTCTTGGTTAACAACAATTGGAGGAAAAACTTTTAATCAAAATTCATATCAATACCATGTCTATTTACCAGGACAAGAAATAGTGAAAGCCTGCAATTCTTTTAGAATAAATAGAAGGGATTCCTTTCTTGAGATACAAAAACAATGATATCAACTTTTAATTCAACCTTAGAACAATCAAATTCTCTTGCGTTGTCTAGTCATTAATTAACTGATGCATTTTTTATTTTTTTTATTCAATTTCTTATTTTTTTAAATGTGGTGGGGGTGGGTCAATCAGGTGTCGACCTTAGCCTGGTTTACCTTGGCTCTCTTGATGGTGTCCTGGATGTCTATATAGGTCTGAGGGTCAGCAATTGTGTCTCCAATACCGATACTGTGTCCCTCCAGTAGAAGCCAGTTGTTAATTACAGTCTGAATGTGACCATACATAAGTCCTGCTACCTCGTACCCCATCTCCATAAATACAACGTGGGGTAGGGAGCCGCTGGATGTACCCAGGGTCTTCTTACATAGGATCCCACTGATCAGCACGCCATCCTCAATCAACACCTAATAACACAAAATCCTCCTCAATCATAACCAATAAACACAAAATCCTACTCAGTCAACACAAAAATATCATAAATCCTGATCTATTGTTCAAAGATCACTCTCAACACAAAATTCTCCTCAATCAACACGTATAAACACAAAATCCTACTCAGTCAACACAAAACTATCATAAATCCTGATCTATTGTTCAAAGATCACTCTCAACACAAAATTCTCCTCAATCAACACGTATAAACACAAAATCCTACTCAGTCAACACAAAATTATCATAAATCCTGATCTATTGTTCAAAGATCACTCTCAACACAAAATTCTCCTCAATCAACACGTATAAACACAAAATTCTCCTCAATCAACACAAAACCATCACCAGTTAACATAACTTCACCTCCATCAAAGCCTATTGATTCAACTTAATATCAATCCTTGTACTGCCACTAGAAACAACAATTGAAATGAAATGTAAAACACTTTACAGAAGTTCAAAAAATAACTAGGTAAAAAATAAATCTGTTTTTTTCTGTCTATAAAATTAGAGGTACAAATTAAGTCGAGAACACTTCAATGGAAAAAATAGACTGAAATTCAGAATGTTGTTGGAATATCAAATTAACTATTTGGTTTGTAACACAGTCAGTGAAATTTTACAATTTCCATAAAAAAACAACAACAGGAAAGTGATTCATGTATCTCAAAAGACACATCAATGCAACGGACCCCAGGTTTGAAAAGGCAAGCAGATACATAGCTGAATACTGCCATCTTTCTAACTGCAGAGTCTGTGCCAACTTTGTTACCCTGGTGTCTCCAGGGGAAATCCATTTGTATGGGCCAGAGTCCTCCTCATCAGGATGTGTACTGTGGGTCCTGATACAGTTTACGCGGCCAGGGATGATAAGGGAGAATAGCTGCTTTCCTGTCCAAAGTGGTTTAGGCTTGAGTATAGCAGGTTGAGGAATATGGCCGTCCCATGTTGGCAGAAACATAAGCAGGTTCATTATTTCACCCTGAAATGAAGCATAATGATATAATGAGAAACTAAAAAATCCAGTCTCACAAGTTTCAATTGAACTAAAAGACACTTTTACTTTGTTGTCCGACATTCTCGACACCTACCCTGTTAATGAAAACATCTCTCTTTGTCATCTTTTGGACAGCAGTCAGTGTGTCCTGTACGATACCCATGACAGGCCTGTTGGACTGGGGAGTGATGATCATCCTTGGGACCAAAGCGAGGTTTGAGATCTCCGCCTGTGTTTCCAGGGACTGTGGTAAATGGAGGTTCATCTCGTCCCCATCAAAGTCAGCATTGTAGGGTGTGGTTACACTGCACAAGAACAAAAACAACCCACTACATTATTCACATATAAGGCAATAACATATATTTTGATTAAGACATCTGCAAGCATTTTGCCGGCAATTCACATGATCCAATACCTTGACCCACTATTGCCATTGGAGGGAGGCATTTCTCTTTAATTCCCCTATGCTGCACATTTGCACTATCATTGGTTCTCCCAATTAGGGCTGTTCCAGTTTTGTTTAGGGGCGTCACCCATACAATAGAATTGATAATTTGCATTTGGTAATAGGCAGAGAAACTAAGTGTGGATATATAGAGAAGTGATAACTTTCGAGTCCTCTATTCGAATAGCCCTTATATGATAATGCTCTAAAATAATGCAAACTTTTAGTCAGGGTACTTTTATCAAAACAGTGCTTTAAGGACTTTCCGCCCTTCGTAATACACATGTTTTTCTTGTCATATTTTCACGTCGTCATTTCCGTATTGCGTATCGGACATTCCATAACTGTAGTGTAAATTATAGTAACACCGTTTAAACAATAGTACACGTGCTTGATGATATGTCAACACTCGATATCGAGACTTAACTTGGAAATGTGTAATCACACGTACTTCAGAAATAAAGCTTATGATACAAAGACATTAATTAACTCATGGGAAAACACTGACATACGATCAGACGACTTCAAGAATGTTGTATATGAGGCGCATGGAATGTAGACTGGTGTGTTTTGTTTACCGACCTCACCTGTACGTAGCATGTGCTAACAGTAGTTCACAAGCTCTTGGTCGCTCCGACTTTTGTTGTCGAGCGAGTTACGCTCTGTCAGATAAATCTGTTCACAAATGCAATTACAATAACTCTGTGAAAATAGTGGTTTGTAGAATATCAAGATCCCTATAAAATGCAAGTGCATGTGCGTGCATGTATAACGGCATATCATGCGATAGCCTATATGGTGACATGTTAATATACCATGCGTAAGCGGGCTATGGAATGATGTCCAAAGTGTACATGATTGAGAGTAATTTTGTTCCATAAAAGAACATTAAATTGACAATTAAATATAGTAATTTAAATTATTTTCGTCGTTTTTGGTATTGGAAAGAAAATAAGTGTCATTGTATAAATTCTATACCTCTGCAAAAAGTTTCGTTTTTTTTTCAATGTAGACAACTTTCATAAGGATCAAAATTATTGTAAAATGTAAAATAAATTAATTATAAAGACTTTGTGTGTATTTGGTTCAATTTTTCACTCTTTTTGTATGAATTAACTATATATGTGTCCTGTTTGCTTTTAGCTTGTATTTAGTAACTTCTATCCATACAATTTCAATAAAAAACGCTTTTTGTAACATGTGATAGATATTTTATGATAAATAAAATATTTGTAGGGTTGATTAGCAATGTTTCTTTTCATTATTTTATTGTTGCAATAGTTTTGAACAATGCCACACGCTCAACAAATGGGAAAGTGTTGAATTTGACAACAAATCAATTTTTCGGTATTTTTACAAAAAAATCACCAGTTTATTGGAATGCTTAGATTTTCATAAAATCATCTCTACATAGTGACATAACCATTATGTGAAACTTTCATTGAATTCTGCTGGCTAATTGTGAAAGGGTGGAGCCTCCTTAAAAGCTCTCCATTCCATCATCTTTATTTTTGGAAAATATTGTGTTCAGCATATATCCAACTGTGCCAAAATCATGACATTACTGTTAGTATTAATTAATTTATAATTTGTATTGTAGTGAATCAAACCAACAGAAAATACAGTAGCACTTTGGAACTTTGAGTGGGAGAAATTAATTTACTTGCAAGTTTGGAAAAAAGTTTACCGTAGCAGCAATATTTAACTAAGAAAACATCCGATTTATCATTGCAAAATATAATTTACCTGACATTCAATCTGAAGGTTGACCATGGCAGCACCTTAACCCTGTGACACATCATACTCATTTTGTGGAGGGTTGGCTGTCTGTTTAACACCACATAGTCGTTATCCTGCATGTGTCTCTCAACCTAAATTCAAATAAGATCATAGTTAATCTGCATTAACCCTTTCACCCCTAGGTAACTTTGATAGACTCTACCATACATTGATCTGGAGGAGTCCATTATGGTCTACAGTGGTGAAAGGGTTAACAAGCTTTGAAAATTGAAAGGAGTGTACAAGATACTAATGGATTATGCATCATTCTTACGATCAAGACCTCAAGCAAGATCACCGGCATCAAGGTTACAATAAGTCAGCCAACATTCTGTACTCATCGAGGAACAATACCATACAAAGTTGTGTGACCCTAACTCCTATACTTAATCCCTAACTGATCTTTAGAAATGTGAAGCTTGACCAACGTCAGAGATAACGATCAAAGATGAAGGTCACAGGTTTTTTTTTTATGTTGTAAAACACGTAGAACACATAAAGGCACAATCAAACAAGAAATGCTGAAAGTTAAATTTTAAAAATAACTTTCCACTTCCAACTTCTGCATCTTTTCAGTTTAAAACAAATGTTGTTACAGGTCACATGGGTGTACCATTCTTTAGGCCCCACATGAGGGGCTAGGGAACATTTTCAAATAGTTACAATGAAATATTGGTTGGGCAATTGCAAGTACAACTTTTCAAAATCACCTGTAGGCTAGTATACTAAATATGAAATTGGCATTGAAATATATTTCATGAGTGTTGTTCGCAGAAAATGCATTTAATATGTGATTTGTTTTATTTCAAAATTCACAAATTTAACATTTTAAATGTTGTTTATAGGAGTGAAATACAGGCTACGAATACAAAATATTCTCACCTCGTAACCAATCTTGAGATGGAGGTCACTGGCTTTGGGGTGAGAACTTAGGTTTATCTTCTCACCATTGTCTCTTAGAATATATTTGGCTCCTGGGTACTGCTTTGACCCTCTCCGCACAAGCTCGTACATTCTGTAAACAGAAACAAGTGTAACAGAGGTCATTACTTTTTCAATGCCTCAGCCAGGAGTTGTGTCCTGCCACTCCATGGCGTTAAATCTCCAACAGCCCTGATAATTTCCTGAGTATATTTGGAATTTCTTCTTCAAATGTTCTGCTTGTCTACCAAAACTACTGGATATTCTTCATTTGAAATCAAAGTGTATTCTTAAGCTTTGTAAAAAGAAAACTGATTTTCTAAATGGACCAAAATGTACAGTTGTAACACGTACATATTCACATTTCAGAAAACATGTTTGACATAATATATCATCAATTATCATAACAGAATTCCATCACAGGACATGTCTCATAACAAACTAGCTTAATTGACAATGAAACACACACACAATAATCCCTTACAGAGTTACAAGTGCCTCCTACCCTTTTTTGTGGTATAAGGATTCCTTCACCATAATTCACCTACTTTAAAAAAAAAAGAACGAAGGAAGGTTTTGCAATCAGAAGATCTAGTGAAAATTTTCCATCTTGAAAGAGCCCACTTAATTGCCTACAGTATGGTAGCAGTATACAGTAGAAATGGCCCGACTGATAAACAAGGCACATGTCGAGAAAATGTAAACACAGCGGATTTACCCTACACAACACATGTATACAAATTTGTAAACTGCATTACATTTACAATACATATAAAGTACTGAGAAGTGTATAAACTTCTTTTTTCTATGTATGTCACTTGTGTGAAAACCATGGTTACCACATCAAAAATTACCAAAAAATGCCAAAAATTGATATTTTTAACCCAAAATTTGACCCCCGAACCTAGTTTTTTTTCTTCCTAAGCTCTGTCTGAAATTAAAGATTACCTTCCTGGTTGCCGAATTATCTGGGTCCCAGTAAAGTTGTAAAACTTGTTTTTTTGCAATTTTGCGTCGTGTGCTGTTGTCAAAATTTTACCTCCTATAAAGCTATAGCTTTTCATGTGTTCGGATTATGGCCAAAATTTTATTCTCGAACCAGGGGTTAATCATTTAACAAAAATATCACCCATGGCCACAACCCTCTACTGTATACTTCTAGCTATGTAGATAGCTAGAAAGTGTTCTGCCATTGGATTTTCCAACTTTTTGTTTCTGTTTTAACAGTTTTTCCAAAAAAAAAAAAAAGGAAAAGGAGAAAAGGGCATTAAACAGGAATTCAGCCTGAATAGGACCAACCAAGAAAATTATTGGAACAATTACCTGTCTATGTTGAAGGGTGTGACTACCTCTGGAAACGTCATGTTCTGTGCTATACTTCTAGGCACCCCGACCTGGTCAATCCTGAGGTTTGGATCTGGGGTAATGACAGTTCTGGCAGAGAAGTCCACACATTTCCGCATCAAGTCCACTCGGAGACGTCCTTCCTTTCCCTTCAGCCTTTGTTTAACAGACTTCAGAGGTCGGCCCGACTTATAATGTACAGCCTAAACATATATTTTTACATATAATAAATAAAGCCAGCTTTCATGACAACCCATCTAACTTGAAACAAAAGAAGTCTATTTTGTTTTTTAAATCTTTTGATAATGATTCTTAATCTTATTTTTACTCTTTTCCTTTCATGTCAATATCCGAACTGATTTTTTCGGAAAATCTTTTACAACAGATATCTGACAGAATCCATACATTATGAAAGCAGATAGACATCTCAAGCACAAAAATGAGTCCTACCTTTGGAAGGCCAGGCATCTCATTGTCAGTGAGTGTGGCCACGTGGAATTGTAGCACTTTTGTGTATTCTGATATGATGTGTGGTGGAGCTTCATTCTGTTCATTCCTCTTCAACTCATTGTTGGCTTTGATAATGTCTAATAACTTGTGAGTCAAATCATCCTGAAACAAAGAAATCCAGAGTAAGAACATCATCACAGTGATAATTCAAATCCATTTCTTATGAAGATAATATGAAAAGGCAAAGCCAATAAAAGAGCGAAGCTTTTGTTGATCTCTGATATTTACTGATTTAGAACGAGATAATACTGCTTTCAGAATGAGGCAGGATAAAATATATTTGAAGTCAGCTAATCGAGGGATAACAATAAAACATAAACTCTAATGTTGCCATTTTCAAAGCTAAAGTAGATATTTGTTCTTGTGCGTAACGTAAATGATGGGTCAGGTGGCGCAGTGGATATCGCGCTCGTCTTCACCAAGATGACCGGATTCAAATCCGTTTACCTGCCCGACAACGCAGGTTTTCTCCGCATACTCCGGCTTCCTCCCACATTAAGAATTAAATCATCTGCTTGCTTCCGTCAGGTCACAAAAAGAATGATTGAAATAAGTTGGGGAAAAACTGTTTTGTAAGTGCTATAGAAACAAGAGGCCCAAGGGCCTTAGCAGTCACCTGAGTTATATCATACTGGTAGCTTTATTTTATTGTTTAGATGTGATGTGGAAATCAGCATGTAAACTAAGTGAAATACAATACTTGTCATTTCATCAAAGGATAAGAATTATAAATATTGGTAAATGTTCCCTTTGGGGCCCCGCCCTAGCCCCTGGGGATTGGGCAGGAATTCCAATTTTACAATGTAATACCGTCATCCACCAAAGATGATTCTCACCAAGTAAGAATAATTTCCTACAGAAAATTATCAAAATATACCCAAAAGTGTTGTTTCCCTATATAAACAATAATAAATTTTACCCCTTCCCCAAGGGAGAACGGATGGCTCAGGGGTCCTGAAATTTACAATTTCAATAAAGCCCCTGATGATCTTTCCATCCATGCAGAGAAAATGACTAGTACCTCTGAGTCTGGAGAAGAAGATTTTTGAAATATTGGTTAATTTTCCCTTTGGGGCCCCGCCCTGGCCTTTTGGGTTGGGGTAGGAATCCCAATTTTACAATTTAAAGCTATCTTCCTCCAAGGATAATTCTCACCAAGTAAGAATAATTTCCTACAGAAAAAAATTGTCAAAATATACCCAAAAGTGTTGTTTCCCTATATAAACTATAGTAAACTTTACCCCCTCCCCAAGGGAGAACGGATAGCTCGGGGGTCCTGAAATTTACAATTTCAATAAAGCCCCTGATGATCTTTCCATCCATGCAGAGAAAAATAACTGTAGAACCTCTGAGTCTGGAGAAGAAGATATTTGAAATATTGGTTAATTTTCCCTTTGGGGCCCCGTCCTGGCCAATAGGGTCGGGGTAGGAATCCCAATTTTACAATTCTGTAGCCTCATCTACCAAGGATGATTTTGATTAAGTTTGTGAAAAATTCCATCAACTGGTTCTTGAGAAGTTGAAAATATAAAAAGTTTACGCACGACGGACTATGACGGACAGAAAGTGATTGGAATAGGTCACTTGGGCAAAGCTCAGGTGACCTAAAAAGTGCATATTACACATTTGACGAGAAGTCTATAAAAGTAAATGTATAGAGATGTTAGTTAAAACAAGAGGCCCAATGGGCCTGAATCGCTCACCTGGTATTAATCTCACAAATAATCTTAAAAGAGGACTAAAATACAGCTACAGGCAGAATATCAGTGTTTGACTCATAAGAACTTACTAAAAGATTTAAACATATGATGCCTGTGACCTTGAATGTCGAACAAGGACATAAGGTTGAACAAAGTTTATAGTCGTCCAACCAAGCATACTTCGGATAAAATATCATTACCCTGGACCTTTTAGTTATACAAGTCATTTAAAGATTTAAACATATATTGAACATGTTGCACACTTTGACCTTGAATATGGGTGAAGGTAATTCATTTGGAAAAAAACTGGTAGTCCTTAATCCCTGCATGTTAATGGCCAAATATCATCACCCTTAACCTTTTGCTTATTGAGAAGAAGTCGTTTAAAGGTTTTAATCATATTTGACATGTTTAATATATGTCAAGGTCATTCTTTTGAACAAACTAGGTAGTTCTTCATCCTAGCATGCTACTGGCCAAACAGCATCATCCTAGGTCTTTTGGTTATTGAAAAGATGTTGTTTAACGGTTTTAGACATATTTGACCATTGTGACCTTGAATAATTGTCAAGGTCATTCATTTTATTAAACTTGGTAGCGCTTTATTTCAGCATGCTACAGGCCAAATATTATAACCCTCAGCCTCTTGGTTATTGAAAAATAGTTTTAAAGTTTTTAAACATATTTGACCTTGAAAATGGGCGAAGGTCATTTGTTTGAACAAACTTGGTAGCCCTTCATTCCAGCATGTTACTGGCCAAATATCATTATCCTGGGCCTCTTGGGTATTCAGAAGAAGTTGTTTAAAGATAAAGATTTTAAACATATTTGACCCCTGTGACCTTGAAAATGGGTGAAGGTCATATGTTTGAACAAACTTTGTAGCTCTTCATCCCAGCATGTAACTGACCAAATATCATCATCCAAGGCCTTTTGGATATTGAAAAGATGTTGTTTGAAGGTATTCAACATATTTGACCCCTGTGACATTGAAAAAAGATGAAGGTCATTCATTTGAACAAACTTTGTAGCCCTTCATCCCAGCATGCTACTAGCCAAATATCATCATCCTAGGCCTCTTGGTTATTCAAAACAAGTTGATTAAAGATTTTAACATATTTGACCCATGTGATCTTGAAAATGGACGAAGATAATTTATTTCAACAAACTTGGTAGCCCTTCATACCAGCATGTTACTGGCCAAACATCATCACCCTAGGCCTCTCAGTTATTCAGAAGAAGTTGTTTAAAAAGTTTTAAACATATTTGACCCCAGTGACCTTGAATATAAGTCAAGGTCAGTTATTTGAACAAATTTGGTAGCCCTTCATCCCAGCATGGTACTGGCCAAAAATCTTAATCCTAGGCCACTTGGTAATTCAAAAGAAGTTGATTAAAGATTTTTACATATTTGACCCCTGTGACCTTGAAAATTGATGAAGGTCATTTATTTGAGCAGACTTGGTAGCCCTTTATCCAAGCATGCTTCTGGCCAAATATCATCACCCTAGGCCTCTCGGTTATTCAAAAGAAGTTGTTTAAAGGTTTTAAACATATTTGACCCCTGTGACCTTAAATATAAATCAAGCTTAGGTCATTTATTTGAACAAACATGGTAGCCCTTCATCACAGCATGTTACTGGCCAAATGACATCACCCTAGGCCTCTCAGTTATTCAGAAGATGTTGTTTAAATGTTTTTAACATATTTGACCCAAGTGACCTTGAATATAAGTCAAGGTCATTTATTTGAACAAACTTGGTAGCCCTTCATACCAACATGTTACTGGCCAAATATCATCACCCTAGGCCTCTCGGCTATTCAGAAGAAGTTGTTTAAAGTTTTTAAACATATTTGACCCAAGTGACCTTGAATATAAGTCAAGGTCAGTTATTTGAACAAATTTGGTAGCCCTTCATCCCAGCATGATACTGGCCAAATATCTTCATCCTAGGCCACTTGGTTATTCAGAAGTAGTTGATTAAAGATTTTTACATATTTGACCCCTGTGACCTTGAAAATTGATGAAGGTCATTTATTTGAACAAACTTGGTAGCCCTTCATCCAAGCATGCTTCTGGCCAAATATCATCACCCTTTGGGCCAGGTGAGCTAAAAACCACAAGTCAAATATGATGAAATTCAAACAAACGAAAAGTACAAAGGGTATTGTTCTTAAATAGAAATTGTAAGGAAAAGGTGACAAGCAAAGGGTCAATGGAAATCTCTTGGGGCCAAAATCCTGCTTGCCCTCTCTTAAATGATCTGTGCCAGCAGGAGTTGGCAGACAGAACCAAACTTTACTTTTATACGAATCTAACCTGACATCTGGCTGGACCAGACATGACCACAGCTGACCTAACAGAGAGTGGTGGCACTGGCATTACTGTGATGATCATATGGTCAGGGCGAGCATACTTGGGCTCCATTCCCATCACCAAACATTCCTCATCCGATATTCTCTTGAATATCTTGTGAACTCTCTCTGCCGTCAGCATGATCCTTCTCTCTTGACTCTCCTCATTTACTTGTTTCCATTCAGCCACCAGTTCCAAACCTGTTCTTTTGATCTGAGGCTGAAAGCGCCCACAACCTTCATGGCCCTGTACATAATAAAATTCAACCCAGTTCAAATAAAAATATAGTACTTCATTAGTTTAACCACAATGAAAATTCAGAAGAAAAGATCAGCCAAATGAAAGGTTTCCCAAATTCTTTTACATACAAAACATTGGATTTCTGAAGTCCTTCTTAAATTCACTAAAAAAAGGTAATTATCAGTAAATTTGTTGCACTAAAACAATTATACAATAATCCAAAATGTTATATTTTAAGATTTTTTCGGTCTCAACGCCAATGGCAGGAAAAAGTCCAAACTGACTGGGAAGTATTATTTGAGCCAACTATACCCAGTGGGCACAAAACGTTGTATAGACGTCGGGAGGTCGTCGTATTATGGTCGCGACGTCGGCAACCTTAATCTAACGTCGGGAGGACGTCGTATTGTGGTCGCGACATTGGCAACCTTAATCTAACGTCGGGATGACGTTTTATTCAGACGTTATACCGACGTCTGCAACTTACATCGTTATGACGTCTGGTTAGGTCGTACCCCAACCTATGCATATTAAATAAATATTAAAATGCATGTTATTTAAAACTATGAATATATTATTTTGCACGTAGTTCATTTTGAATTAAAGAAATAATAAAATGCATGGTCGATTGTATTTAGATATACTTACGTACATTTACATTTCGATAATGGAAATATTTCCGCGCGATTTTCTACTTCCGGTTCTTTGTTCGTTGACCATCACCGACCACGACTGACCAGTGAATCAGATATAATATATTACCATTTTTCTCCGCTGTTCCCCCACTTTTTACAAACTTCAAGGTATGTAACCCTTGTCTTTGTTGTTTAATCATCTTTACTACCGGGTACGTAAATTTATGCAACAGGAAAATTTGATTTAGGATAACTACGTCACAACAACGTTGCATACGTTATATCACAACGTCTTTACAACGTCGGAAAAGACGTCTAGAAAACTTTCACTGACAACCTTACCACAACCAAATCCCAACATCAGAAACCAACCTTATGGCAACGTTGCTACAACGTCATGTGCCCACTGGGTACACTCTTTTTCATACCGTTTTTTCTTCATCCCCCTCTCGGTTTTGTTGCTCCCCTAACTCTGTCTCCATTTCATCTCCTCCTTCACAGATCCGTTTGTTCTTACATAGCTTGTATACACGAGCCATTCTTTTTATTGGCTGTCCCTTAGACTTGGTCAGAATATCCCTGATTTTGGGATCAGTCTGTTAAGAACAAAGGTACATTTTAGTAGACAGTGAGTAACATAGCAATAACAAGTCAATATGCATGAACATCTTCAAATATTTTTTTCTAGTATATAAAATTTAAGACTATAATATATGTATAATATCAATAACAATATCTTATATCAATAGAATGGTCATGAATCAGAAGGGATTTGGTTTTGATTTTATAGGTTTTAATGTCACAGCTATGTCAGTTTGAGCCGTGCCTCCATGCATATAACACATACGTGTAAGTGCGCTTGAGGTTTGTGTATTTGTCTCCTGGCAAATATGCAGATCTGGTGCACTCAGACTTCAGACTGTAATAAAATCTGTTACCTGTAACTGAGCGAGATAGGGTTAACTCAGTTGAGGGCTCAGATTCTGTAACATAATCCCAACCGATTATTTTTCTCGCACCTTTTACTTAAAAATATTCAATTTCGCCATTGTCTACACGTATCCCGTCGGGGCCTCAAACAAATACGGCCTCTTCACTTCTAAAGCCACCTCTGTATGCTTCCACGTAAACAATGTAGTTCGTCCTTACAAAGAAGAAAACGTAATTCACAGTGAAGATCAAATTTTATCTACAATTTTAGGAATCTGACAACATCAAAACAGCACATAAAAAGAAGAATATAACGCAGATAGTCAATTTCGAGCCGATATTTATGAGTATATAATTATATACCCTATGTGATGTCACACTTCGAATCAAAGAAACTTGTTGCCACGAAGTTTTTGAAGGAGCTTACATCTCATCGTCAGAGTCTGTTATGATTAGACGTCTGAATCCCCGACTAGATGGATTTACCACTGGATTAGTGTGATTGTTAACTGTGATATTGAACACACCGCCATGGATAACACTTCCTGTGAACACAGATCTTTCGGATGTCTGTTGAGCACACATGTTGGATTGTTGGTACACACATGGGACGCGACTGTTTTGACCTCGATCTATCAGATTGTTGTCATGATCAGTAGTGTTACAAAGCATTGACGAAATGCTACTTTTTTGTGCACTTGTCATTGCCTGGTGTAGCATGGTATTGTGAAGCATGGTGAAATGAACCGCGGTTCATATTACCATAATGGTGAAATGAACCGCGGTTCATATTACCATAATGGTGAAATGAACCGCGGTTCATATTACCATTATGGTAATATGAACTGCCCCATGGTGAAATGAAGGGTTCCAACGATTTCTATTCTGACAACTTTTTTCCATTCTTTTTCTTTAAGTTTACTTCAATTTGATGTATTCTATCTGAAATGACAAAAATTAAGTCAGGGGTAGAGAAAATCAGGGTGGGGCAGGGGCCGTTCACTTTTCCATAATGGTGACATGAAAGATTTTAGCTTTTTTTTTCTATTTAACTTTTTAAAACCAAATCCATTTAGATTACATCAGTTTGATGTCCTGAATATGAAAATCACAAAAATTATGTCTGGGGTAGAGATATTCAGGGTACTTTTTTTTGTTTAAGTTCCCTTTCAAAACTTCCCAACATTCCTCTTAGAGTTGTTGGCTCGTATTCAGACCCATCTTTTTGCCTAACACTCATGAAGAAATTAGTAAGAAGTAGATCAAGCTCTTCATGTGGTATATCCGATATTTCTCGACTTTCCCGCTTGGTTGTAAAAAAACTATGTAGCAACTTTAAATGTCCGGATGTTTTTCTTTTAGTGCTTTCATTTTCGTTTTCTGTTATAAAATCGTCTACGTCGCCTATTGTGAAAGCGATAAATCTATTGTTTGCTTTTTTTTACATAAGCTTTAGGTGGACGGGGCTGGGGTCTTCTTAATTTAGGCAGATCCATATGTAGCTCGTCATCTAGTGTCAAACTGGGTCCGGAAGGGGTCTGGATGGCATTAGCCCGTGGGGTTGGGGCAGTTGCACTGGGTGGTGGAGCTGTTTCACTGGGTCTCGGGGGTGGGGCGGTAGCACTGCGACCTGTGGGCAGGACAGCATCTTTCGTGAACATGATTTTAGGTGGTGAATTTTGTGGATCAAAAAGACGTAGCAGTTCATCATCAAATACAACATGGTCATCAAGACCTTTGATTAATTCGTGCCTTGCACATCTTATAATTTCACCATCAAACGAATGAATAACGTAAAAAGTATATGTGCCCAAGGGTTTTTCAATTGACACAACTTTACCGTGCCTTCCATTTTGTCCAACACGTACTGTATCACCAATTCTGAAGTCCATTATATATTTCTGTCACAGTCGATCGAGCAGACGAGAATACATTAAATAATGAATAATTGATGACGTAATAACACGATTGTCAACAAATGATGACAGGTATTTTGTTGTGCACAGTTAGCGCAAGTGTGTAGGATCACATTTTCCATTAGAATATGATTAATCATGGAACATCATTTTGATGTTTGGTAATCATTCACCTACTATGACAGTCTTGTGTGACACAACTGTTAACAAATTTCCGCGCGGATGAATATATTGCTGTAACGGTACAAGACAGATCGGGCGATATAGAAAAATCCAGTATAGGTATCACGTGGGATATCCCTGTCTGAGGTGCGAGAAATTTAAATCCCGAGCAATGCAGTACAGTAGATTTATTGTGGTAGCTATTGTGTTCCCAATTATAGGACAAAAATCCCAAATTCTGCAGGGGGTTCCAAAATTAGTGTCATCTTACAATAAACTGTGGGTAACTGTAGGTATATTCTTTTCTCAATCCCCAACCTGCAGAGGTGATCAGAATGGAAGTATTGAACATTATCTAGTAATGGAAGTATTGAACATTATCTAGTAATGGAAGTATTGAACATTATCTAGTAATGGAAGTATTGAACATTATCTAGTAATGGAAGTATTGAACATTATCTAGTAATGGAAGTATTGAACATTATCTAGTAATGGAAGTATTGAACATTATCTAGTAATGGAAGTATTGAACATTATCTAGTAATGGAAGTATTGAACATTATCTAGTAATGGAAGTATTGAACATTATCTAGTAATGGAAGTATTGAACATTATCTAGTAATGGAAGTATTGAACATTATCTAGTAATGGAAGTATTGAACATTATCTAGTAATGGAAGTATTGAACATTATCTAGTAATGGAAGTATTGAACATTATCTAGTAATGGAAGTATTGAACATTATCTAGTAATGGAAGTATTGAACATTATCTAGTAATGGAAGTATTGAACATTATCTAGTAATGGAAGTATTGAACATTATCTAGTAATGGAAGTATTGAACATTATCTAGTAATGGAAGTATTGAACATTATCTAGTAATGGAAGTATTGAACATTATCTAGTAATGGAAGTATTGAACATTATCTAGTAATGGAAGTATTGAACATTATCTAGTAATGGAAGTATTGAACATTATCTAGTAATGGAAGTATTGAACATTATCTAGTAATGGAAGTATTGAACATTATCTAGTAATGGAAGTATTGAACATTATCTAGTAATGGAAGTATTAAACATTATCTAGTAGTAGTAATGGAAGTATTGAACATTATCTAATAATGGAAGTATTGAACATTATCTGAACATTATCTAGTAATGGAAGTATTAAACATTATCTAGTAATGGAAGTATTGAACATTATCCAAATATTATCTAGTAATGGAAGTATTAAACATTATCTAGTAATGGAAGTATTAAACATTATCTAGTAATGGAAGTATTGAACATTATCTAGTAATGGAAGTATTGAACATTATCTGAACATTATCTAGTAATGGAAGTATTAAACATTATCTAGCAAAGTAGTCTTACCGGGTCTACCAACAATTTGGAGCAGAAGAAACACACACATCTCAGCACTTTGATCGTCTTTTTGAAGAAGCCAACATTGAAAACTGGTTTTGACAATTCTATGTGACCAAAGTGACCTGGACATTCAGACATGTTGCCAGCACAAGTCTGACAATGGGCATTTCTGTCCATGGTTCCTTGTCGTGGGTCCATCAATCCATTTAGCTTGGGACGCCAACATTCCATCATCCTTGAATATCGGATACCTCCATCAGTTACCGACATTCGTCGCTGCAAGACAGAAACTCCAGTTAATTAAACAGGATATGTGTAAGTTCAATTACACTTAACATTTTTCATACACTTCCCTCAAAATCCTGGTCATATGAGAAATTAGGTACAAGTCAATAATAGAGCCCAAAAATTCATTTACTTGAACATGTTATTATTTGGCTCATCATGACAGATATCAAAATAAAAGTTTATCTCTCTTATTTGTTTTGGATATAACTTATGACAAAAATTTAAAACACTTTTGAAATTGCGATCATTTATTAGATGTCAGCTGTTTGAAAACATCATTCCTCAATTTACTTGTAAACTTATCTAGTATTTCAAGAACGCATATTTACCAGTACAGTTACGCTAATAAAAAGTCGGTTTTTACAGTTCAGCCTGCTATTAATAAACTCTGAACCCATTTTTTTGTTTTTATAATAGGTTTAATATATAAAATAAGTGAACATTCGACAAACTCCCTTTATAAATTTAAGTCAACCATGCATCTATGTTCTATATTATAACTAAATAAATATAATAAATAAATTTATTAAATTAAATGAATTCATTCAATTTGACATCTTGAAATATCAATTAAAAATGTGAGATTTAAAAAAAATGTTTTGATAAAAAGTTTGACGATCAAAGATTATTTTTTTTTATTCCAAAAGAAGCTTTTGTTCTTGCAGGTCACTGTAGAGAATTTCTTTTTAGTGTATTCAAGTAATCTTTCTTTGAACACTAAATCAAAATAGACACACGGAAACATATGACGGCTGCTTATGACGGGAGAAATTTGTTAAAAATTGTTTGTTCGGATTTTTTTTTTAAATACAGTTTTATGTTGCTAGTTTTTTGTTTCCATTAGTAGATTGAATACATGTTTATGACAGTCATCCGTAATTTCAACAGTTTTCTGCCGATATGAGTACGAAATAGCGCGCGGAAACCGGTAACCCGAGGATACAGGATTGGGCATGGCATACATAACACATTGTTCATGACCGATTTATTTGTGTCGATTAAATTTATGTCATAAAACTAGCCAATCAAAAATAGATAGATTTATTACAGTTCAGTAAAATGTATATTCATAAAGGACATACACATTCGTCGGGACTGAGAATGCCGAACTGGACTCTCTTCGCGTCTCTCATAGGGGCGTTTGAATCGCCTGTGTACGCCATCTTTGTTGTGAAATATGAGTCTGACTGTTATCTAAGTCCGTGGTCTGACAAACACTTATTTCTTACGACCGATAACGATAAAGTAGAAAACAAATCTGAAATACAAAAACGTTCAACTTATCGCTAACGTCGTGCTCATTTTCACATGATGACAATCATGTTTCAATGCCTTGTCATTCTCAGAAACAGTATCAGGACACCATTTCCCGCCAGACAGTGTGTCTTGCTCTCGCGACAGAGCCTCAAATCCGCTTTATTTATTCACAATATACCAATCACGAAATAAGCATAAAATAGATCAAGACTTGTCACAAGGAAATGACGTCACTAGATTTTTAGGCTAACGAAGATGATAAAATGTGAATGTTGGAGAAAAACATTAGCAAAGACCTCTTCATACCGAGTTGATTCCCCCCAACATTTTTGAAGCCCGAGTTTAACCATAATTCATAACGTAATGTTAATATATTCTATGCTGTTAACGTTTAAAAAATGCAATTAAAGTGATTTTCTCAATATGCAAGCTAACCTAGATATATTAGGCAGTTCCCATCTTTCGCGCTGTCACACATAAATTTGTCATTTTGTAGGATCCAGTTTCAGTAGTCATTAGGTCGACCGACGATGAATAACAAAATTGACGTCATGACAACACACGAAAATAAATAAACGTACAGTTGACTGATTTACAACGTAGTCGGGACAACATGCTTGATCAGAGGCGTTAATATATAAATACATGTACGTCTCTGCACACCCTACTACATTAATGAACAATTCCCCCCAGAAATAGAGGAACGCAGGCTACTGTACCCAAAACTTATAGAACTTAGACAGCTAGGATGGGTGCCGAGCTAAACTTGTGAGGGATCGGCTAGTGGTTGACTGACGGGCAACTCTACAGGGAGCACAATGGGTGCTCAAGGTAGATCCACAGAGGGGTAGGTACAGAGACAGACGGTCACATACGGATGTAGTACGAGGTGTTCCGAGTGCTAGCGTTCCTAGTGACAGCGTACCTAGCAACAGTGTATCGTGTGCAGGTAGTGATGACCGCGGAGGGTACAACAATGGCTACAGGCGGTCCCCACGATGTAACACCCCCACCCAAACGAGGGAAGTTCACAAGGCTAGTTCATGTATAGACCCATCCGATGAGGAGACATTTGTTAAAACAGTATAGGGAAACCTGGTGGGCGGATCTTCTAATGGTCCCAAAGACTATCGACTTAAAATCTTGAGCATTAATGTAAATGGTCTCACCAACAAACTTAAATGTCCAGAATTTCTAGAATACGTCTTGAATTATGATTTTATTTGTATCACTGAGGCAAAAACTGATAGTGCAGATTCTATAGATATCGACGGCTACACTGTATTTTGTAAGCATAGACAGTTGAAAATGAATATGTCAGATATATATCTCATTTAAAAATAGACAACAACCACACATTATGGCTTAAAATGAAAGGTACAATGTTTAACATTGATGGTAACGTTTTATTTGGTACAATGTTTATATACCTCCGGCTAGTTTGAGGATGTTGGAAATGAATTGTTGTCGTTTAGCCATGATGTTAAGTGTATTTGTCTGCTTGGGGATTTTAACAGTAGAACATCCGACTCTCACGATTTTACAGACATCGTTGATGGAGATGATGATGAAAATGATGATATTGGCAGTCCTGATGTAAATAAACTTGAATGTATACATGTACCTAAGGTAAGGTGTTCTACAGATAAGGTACGGAATGATTATGGAAGGCGTTTGTTAGATATGTGTAAACACTGTAATATTCATATTTTAAACGGACGCATGGGAGAAGATACAGGTATAGGTAAACCAACCTGTAAAAATGCAAGTGTGGTAGATTATTGTATAGGTAATTTTGAATTTATTAGATTAGTAGAAGATTTTTCGATACAAGAATTCTCTTCTTTATTGTCTGATGTACATTGCCCAATTCACATTTGTCTATGTATTAATCAAAATGTACACTTAAATAACAATGGTGATACTGTTGATTCTGAAGGTCAGAGGTTTTTATCAAGACCAAAGAGATGGAATACTGATTCAAAAGATATTTTTTGTAAAACATGTGGCTGATTGAAAACTAGATATAGATAGCACTATTGATGGTATGGATGACACTGAGAATGTTATAAATTTGGGTTTTATTAATGACACTGTACATAAATTATGTGAAATTTTCATCGGTACTGCCAAACATGCTTTTGGAGATACCCAACCACATAACCGCACTAAAAATAATTTCAATTTAAAAAAAATATGGTTTACCAAAGAATGTAAATCTACTCGACAAAATTACAGAAAAGCCGAAATATTTTATAATTTTGTCTTCAGACCTGTACATTTTAAATGTCAATAATTAATAAACCAGTTTCACTGCACGGACTCACATACTTTAGGTCTATAGATCCGTGTAATCTTTTGAATGGAAGGCCTGTCAAATATTTTGATCCCGCCTGACAAAAAATTATGGGGAGGTTGTTGGAACAGCATGCGTGCGCACTATTTCACGTGCATTGGTTATTTGCACGCGCATGGTATATCGCTCAATTGCACTCTTTTTAACCAATGAAAACCGTCGTTACATCACAGACGTGGTAGAATGGAAAATTATACATGTAAGGCGAATATAATGATCTTTTTGACTTTTTTAGCAAAAGTTTCAATAATGATTTTGATGGTGATTACAATCACATACTGTCCCTTGATGAACTCAAAGAGTTGTCTAACCTTGAAACTAATACCTTTATAAATGGTCCAATTACTCCAAGAGAAATTTTGAAATGTGTCAATAGATTGAAATCTAATAAGGCTGTTGGTGATGATTTAGTATCAACTAATGACATAATGCTTCCATTATATGTTAAAATGTTTAACTATATACTTGATTCTGGTAATGTACCAGAAGCATGGCTTATGGGTAATATTATCCCCGTGTTTAAAAATAAAGGTGATATGTATGACGCTAAAAAACTACAGACCAATCACACTGGTCAGTTGCCTAGGTAAACTATTTACAGCTTTAATTAATGAGCGTCTATATATAAATACATATGTAGACAATGTCTAACTTATACTTGAAAACCAAGCAGGTTTTCGTAGGCAACATTCTACTATAGATCATATATTTTCTTTATACTCTTTCAAAACAATTCAAAAACCGTATGTATTGTGCTTTCATAGATTTTGAGAAAGCGTTCGACAGTGTCTGGAGAATAGGGTTGTGGAACAAATTAATAACAAATAATGTAGATGGAAAATGTTTTAAAGTTATTGTTAATATGTACAATGGAATTAAGGCTAAAGTTATGAAAGATGGAACATTCTCCAATATCTTCACCTGTAATTCCGGGGTTAGGCAGGGTGGAAATCTTGCTCCATTTTTATTTTTATTGTATCTAAATGACCTTGAAATGTTTTTAGAATCTAATTATTGTACAGGCCTAATAATTTTGTCGGGAAAACTTGAGAATGAGTTACACACATATCTCAAGTTGTATGTAATGGCATACGCTGACGGCACTATTTTGTTAGCAGACACCCCAGAAGATTTACAAAAACAGCTTAATGTGTTTTATGATTATTCAAAATTATTCAAAATTATGGTATCTTAAAGTAAATATCGATAAAACAAAAGTGATGATATTTGGAAGAGGGAGAGTATGACTTGCGGTAATGTGGAAAATTTTGCAAGGATGTATCACTGTCTATTTATCAAACTGCATGATGTATTCAGTCTAAACAAATCTTCATCTGAGTACATATCATCTTCGAAGAAGTTGTCAACGATGCGGTCTGTGTTAATTCTGCATTCGTCTTGCATTAGCCAAGGCGCTACATATTTATCCTATTAGACATGTATTAATTTCTATTTTGTTTTTACGTCATGTAAGTGTTCTGCGTTTTTCTGTGCCTGGATAAAGGAGAAGATTGCCCCTAAAAACTGACGGCCTCACATTGTCCACTACACGGCTGGAATCACCTAGCTGTTAGCTCCGATTGTCAAACAAATTTTAAACATTTAAGATGCTCAATATTGAAAACAAAATTTGAAAGACCTTATGTCACTTTGCAATGTATAATAATTTGAAAATGTGTATAGATTAATATATATTGACAAAATATACATTCGCCTGATATAAAGCCACAGAAAAAAAAGCTGTGCGGTTAAAAACTAACCGTATTTCTGCGTTTCTTCTCTTTCTTTTTTTGTAAATTATATATTTATAATTATAGTTCAGTTGTTAATCATAACAGTCTTATATCAGTATATAACTACTAACATACATTCGACCCATGTAATGGCAAAGAATTTGGAAACATACGTTTTTTTCATTCACTCGGGCTAGATAACGAAAAAACGGTGTGCCGGGTAGCGGATTCCGGAAAGTTTTTATGCGGCGTGAGTAATAGTGGTTGACGGTTGTGTGAATCCGGATAGGGATAACAACGAGAAAATAAGCTTTGCACAATACTAATTAGTTATTTATATAACGCGAATGGATAAGTTACCAATTTTAACAAAGTGTACAGGTATATGCACTTTATTAAACGTGTTTAGCTACGTGGTTGTTGTACGGAAAGGCCGAGTGCGAGGACTGCCAGTGTACGGGACATTTAGTGTATTGCGTAGTTGTCATGATATGATTTAAAGCTAATGTGAAAAACAATTATCTGTATAAGTGAGACATTTCACTATTTGTTTCGATAAAATTTGAACCATAATGCAAAGTAACCAACAAATAGAAAACTGAGCGTTATTGATTGCTGTCGACTTTCCCGAGGTTTCAAAGTGCATTCGTTTGGTTTTGTAATACATACAAGTTGCTATCAGTATACAATGTTCACTGCTTGCCCATGTCTATTTGAGACAATTGAACTCATTACATCACCTTTAAATATATGAATTACTATCACCTTGTTGTTGACCGGTCGGGATGCACTTGTCAGCAACGGGAAATGGAAAGCTCACAAATTGCTTCATTGAGATAAATAACTCATAGGCATGTTTTTTTTCTTCAAAATAGTGTATTTTTATGGGTACTTACAATTTTTCAGATGGTTTTTAATATATCTAATTCACAAAGGGCCATTCACCTGAGTTAAATTACATGTTACCAAAAAAAAAACCGTCTTCTGCCTGTGGATTGACTTTTACAAAATTAAGTTGAGGAGTGACTAAAATTTCAAAAGAGATAGTAAA